CTATTAGCAAAATGAAATTTTATCAATACTTTTTTTTACAAGTAAATGATTGCTTTTTGAATTATTCATCATTAAATTTGAACAAGTGTAGTCTGTAATATAAAAACAGTTACATTATTAATTCTAAATACAAAATTAATAATGTAATATAATTTTATATTTTTATTAGCTGTATTTATTTTTATTTAGTATTGATTATTGATCCTGGTTTAAAGTTATTTTGAGAACATTTTATGAAATAAAGAAACTTCAAGCTTAAATAAAGTTTTAAAAATAATTTAACTGATAAATATGTTTGGTTCTTAAGTTGTTATAAAATTTATGTACCAAAATCAAATGTGGATATATTAGAACTATAGCAAATAAACTCTACACAAGATTTTCAACCTAAAAGTAGAGCAAAACTACAGCATATTATTTCACTGCCAATAATTTTATGCTGTGAAATTAATTAATTAAAAAACTAGTGTTGCAGTTAAATACTTATTATTTATGTACTGTTACTTACAATATTTTTATATCTTACCCACCAGATGACTTTTCATGTACCAACTGATTTAGGTAGAAGACAATCATCTATTGTTTTTAAAGTTTGTAAGTTTTCATGAATTTCAATATTTATTTTTATTTTTCATTTTTATGATAAAGAAAAATAAATTATTAAAATAAACTTCATGAATCTAAAGAAACTAATATAAAAATTTATATACAATTCTTTGATAATTTTATATTATTTTCACAAAACTTTTTTAAGATAAATTATTTTTTAAGGATTTGTTTATAATTTGAGTATTATGAATAAACTTATCCTGATTTCATTTGTGGAGAAGTTGTGACAAAACAGAACTTTAAGTTGCAGAACTTTGCAAGAACTATTAATTAATTAATGAGATGTTATTTTATTGATGTTCTGTAGCTAGTTTTTTTGTTGCATTTTTATCTTAAGGTAATCACTTTCCAGTATTATTTCTGACAATTGAATTTGCTATTAATCATGCACTATTAATTAATGGAATATTAAACTCCATAATGAAGTAATGAAAATCTATAGAAATGTGGGACTAATCAGGGGTAGGGTGTTTACGAGTTCTTGATTCTCCTACCGCTTACTCGACTCAAGACCTTGAGGTCCGGTCTTGCTTGTCTAAAGGATGGGTTCTTTTGAGCAGAAGGTTTTAAAGTTAAGGATTGCTAGATCCTTATTCCACGTAAAGATCAGATACCAATCTATCATTTTCTTAGTGGATAGATATGCGTTTAATTTGAGGAGGAATTATCATGAGTGATCTCGTCGAGGACTTCAGGTTCAGTATGGAGATGATAATGTCAGAATAATAATAATGTTAATGTCAGATAATGTTAATAAACTTGGATTGGTGTACGTTTCGTACACCAATCCAAGTTCATTAACATTATACCTGTTTATTGTTGAACATTTGTACATAATTAATTAAGGAATCGAGGTTACAGTTCCTTCTCGGGATTTTCACTCGTAATTCATAGGGTTTGGGTTGATAGTGGACAAAATATATATTAGTTGCGACCCTAATCGCAAGTTGGAAATAATCAAGAGAGAGCTTACATACCCTTGCGAGTAGAATAAATACCTCTAGTTATAACGTTGATGTCAGGTTGATCTGAGTTCTTGTTCTTTCCAAGTTCATAATTCAGTCCAAAGTTCGAAGTCAAAGTTCAAGGTCGTAATCAAAGTCTATTGAGGATGGTGGCGACGAGAGGCAGGTAATCCATGGGCACACTCACAGTATAGAAAAATAACTTTCCCCCCTGTGTCGTCATCGCACTTGCCTTTTATATGGGAGCTTTGTTCTCAAGATTTCCCCATGTACATCACAGGTGATGACCTTCTTTGACCAATGGTGGGCAAAGTGACAAAATTATGACACAACAGTTAACTCCTTGCATACACAGACATTTTTGATATTAATGTAATTAAACATAAAAAATACTTAAAACTGAAAAAAAAACAAAAGAAATGCATTAATTTTGAAGAAAAAGTTTCAAATTTTATTTTCCTTTGTCTTGCCTTTCTGTGAAATCTGACGCTGATGAGTCATTGTTTACACAGCTGGATGACCTTGAACACAGCTGGAGTTGGATTTCCTGGGACATTCTCATAGAAGTCTCAGGAGGCGATGAGTTTATAGTAGGATGAATACTAGCTAGATCTATATTTTTAAAAAAATTAAAATTTTTATTGCGATTTCGACCCCCGACTTAATTAAACTTATATATAATAAAATCTATTAATTAAAAAAATTTAAAAACTATCGGAGGTCGTTTTTGACATCAGAAACTAGTTTTAAATAACTTTACCGAAGGAAAATCCGTGCACTACAACTTTAGAATGATGAATGAAATTTGATATCAAACTCCCATTAAAAAACTATTAAAAAGCAATTAAGTGTGAAGCATGTGTCATTAAAGGTAAATTAAACTTGCAATAAAATTTTTTTGCGCGGGAAAAAAATTTTGAAAAAATTTGGAGACTTAAAAAACATTCCAAAAATTCAAAAAAAAAATTCAAAAATGGCCTTAAAGACCGTGTTTTATGTAATGCTATGTAACTTGCCCAAGATATCTCGAGATATGTCCTTAAGGGGTTTTAAAGCATTTTTTTTGACAGATGCCATATTAATTGTTAAAACTAAAATTAAAAGTAAATAATTTAGGTTTTGATTTTGTTTTGACAATTACAAAGAAAAAGATAGCACTTCAATAGAAAAATAAAACTGAAACTTCAGCAATAAACTAACAAAAATAAGGAGGTCAATATTGGTATGTACATGTCAGCAGACCAAGTTGCCAATGAAAATTGGTGGTACTGCAGGTTGTGATAATTGAGTTCTACTAAGCAGATGTTTCTGACATCTGAGTTTCTATTATGCAAAGCATAACACTATACAAAAGATAGGCAGAAAAATTGGGTGAAAAGAAATAGTTCCTTTAAGTGACCATTTCTATTGTCTGGGTTTCTTATAAGTGGGCTCAACCGTACGTTCTTTATCATAAATAAATTTATTGTTTTATTTTTTTCTTTACAAATTTTATTACTTTTAATTCTAACATTACTAACACATTAATCACATGTCTTTTTCCATCTCTTTTATCTGACATAGACTCTTCCAGCTCAGACTGACTCATGTTTACTCTTTTGCTGTTCAGACTAACAACTGAAGCTACTTTTCATCATAAATTCTTCTAAAAATCAAAAGATTAAACAATGATCCCTATATAACTAAATGCTTACTGGAATTATTAAATAAAAATAAAACAAACACCTTTCTCTATTCCAGCACACTTTTAATGCGTTGAAAAATGCATTAAAAGTGTGCTGGAATAGAGAAAGGTGTTTGTTTTATTTTTAATGATCCCTATGTAGAATATATAGAAAATATGTTGTAAAACTTTGTTTGCAATATAAATTTTCAATGAAATAAAAAAAAACTTTAAATTTTTTGCTTGTAACTTAAAAAATAAATATTGGGAAATTCATCTAAAAACATGTGAAATCATATACTAGTGTCATTAATACTTTACAGTTAACAAATTTTTGAATACAAGCATTAAACATTAATAAATTAATGCAATTCTAGAGTCTAGAATCTAGACTGTTATTAAAACATTGACTCTCTGAATCCATTTAAAACTGAACATTTATCTATAAAATGTCTACTAAAGAAAAGAACAAGTTTTTATGTTTGTTTTGTTTCATTAAGGTTTTTTAAAAAATATTAATAAAGTATGAAAAATAAATAGTAACAATTATCTTTTTATTATTAGAAAATTTTATAAACAAATTTTATAGTAATTTTTTAAAATAGCATAATTGAATGCAATCTTGGGACTATTGTTCTATAATTATCATCAGTCAGGTGATTGAATTCTTACTAAAGAATTTATTCCTCTTGAATACTACATTTTTTAAATGTATTATTTGTCATGGAATAAAATTATGATATGAACACATTCTAAAAATTATGAAATATTAGTTCCATTTTACATTTAAAATAATATAACTTAATATAGAATATTTTCACATTATAGTAGTAATAAAGTAAAGCAATAAATGAAGAAATATTTATTACTCATTTCAAAATAAATATGTAGTAATATTACTACAGTAATATTAAAATAATTACAATAATTAAATTTAAATTTTGAATTTAATTCTACTTCAAGAATTAAAATGTATTGCATATATTAAAAAAAATTAAAAACTATAAAGAATTAATAGAAATTGCAATGTATTTTGCAAGCCAATATTTTAATAGTACATCAAATAACATTATTTTTGTTTATCCATTTCTTTAATTCTTTAATAATAAATGTGAATATTTTTGGGTTTTAATATTTTACAATAGTCTTGTTATTTACTTTAAAATTATAAAAATAATAGAAAAATTTAAAGAATTGTCAAATATCATATTTTTGTGCTTAAAAACTGAAATGTCATATACCCTGAAGAAAATTGCTAGAACAAAAAAAAAACTTTGTATAACTTCATAGATTAATCAGATACAATTTTATGTATAATATCTGTTTTGATTTCTCTATTCTTGCTTTGTTTACTCTGAAGAAAATTTTACAAGATTGATTCAACAAGGAAAGAGCAAGTGGGATCAGTTAAAAGTTTTTTCAGAATAATTGAGAGAGAATTATTCAAAAATTTAAAACAAATTTAATGGCAAAATTATGATAATAGTTTTAATATGATTGTTTAAGTTTGTGTGTGTATATATATATATATAATATCTTAGCCATAGTTGTAATGTATCATCACTTAAAAGATGTTCACTAAAAACAGTCTAAAATAAGTTTCTTGTGTAATTCAATCTACTTTTGNGATAATTAACAGTTTAATAATAATTAAGTTACTCAAAAAATATCTCCATTTATTATTTATTTCTAGTAAAAGTTTAAAATGTGTCCTATTATATTCTGTAATATAAAACAATCATTGCTTTTTTATTTATAGGTAGAAAGAAAAAAGAAAATCATATTGAAACATCAAACAAAATTGCAGAACAGCTCAAAATTGTAATGCCATTGGGTATGCCATGTAAAAAATCTAATTCAGAAGAAAATTTAATAAAAGAAATTAAAAAGAAATGTCCATCTTCAAGTCCTAGTCATGCAAATAATAATCCAAAAGATGGACATTTTCACTGTTTCAAAACATCAGTAAAACCACTTCCAAAAAAGGGACCTAGAACTCCACCGGACACTCCACCTCGTACACCATCCACTTCTCCAGAAAGACAACTTACTCCATTATCATATACATCTAAAAAGAGTCCAAGTAGTAGTATAAGTTTATCACCATTATCATCACCATGCAAAGATTCAACTACTTTGGCAAATGATAATTTTCAAGACAAGATGACTTTTGAAGATCAATCATCACTAAATATTAATATTGCAAAATTAGAAAATCATAAATTTCCAGTCACTACTTGTTCTGGTAATTCTCAGTCAAATATAAACAGTCATACTGTATCTGTTATAAAACCTAACAATTTAATTCAAAATGTAAATGTTGGAAAAGTTTGTCTTTCTTTTAATACATTAAATTCAAAAACTAGTAATAATCTGTCACAGCAAGAAATGATGACAAATCTACAAGGAGATAAATCAAACACATCAGAAAATTCAAGACAGGTTGTTGTAATGAATAATTCTTCAGGAAATCAGGCTACAAATATGAATTTTACTTCAAAGAGTAATATTTCTACTGGGATCAATACGTCATTATCTTGGAATCCCCACAATCCACCACCTCCACCTGGTCCTCCACCACAGTTACCACCATTACCACCAATGGCTCCACCTGATCTTCAAGGTTCTTCTAATATATCCGAACATAAGACTCAGGTTCATAAGCAAATGCCAAATGGAACAACAATGCAAATTGTTAATTCGTTTTCTGTCCCCCCTCCAAACTTTAATATGCCTCCTCCAATATCTCTTCAACCTCAAGTAACTCGTGTTTTAACTCAAGTTACATCAGGACCTTCTATTCCATCTCTTCCAAATATATCTGTTCCACCACCAAATTTATATCCTCTTAATTTATCAGGAATTGTACCTCGCAGTAATTTACTTTCTACATCAGTTTCTTCTCCATTTGACTTTAGACAAACATCTCTATCAATTCAAACCCGACAGTCTAATGTTGAACAGTTTCTGTCTGGAAATCATACCATTTCAATACATAGACCAAGCCATCCACCTCAAGTTCGTTCATCATCATATTTACCACAAATTTCTCATCCAGGAGCACCTATGCTACCATCTAAAACAGGTATACCACCACCTCCACCTCCACCTCCTCCACCTCAGATGGCTCCTGTAAACTTTATAAGACCTCATCCTTATCATAATCTTGGTCCGAACGCAAAACATAGACCTATGGCAGAATGGCAAAATGATGGTTTAATGCCTAGAATTGGAAGAAGAGAAAAGAGAAGGAGAAGATCAAAATTTGTTCATATTAGTTTACCAGATCGCCGTCATTTTGGGCGAGGAGGAAATGGAATTTCATGTCATCCAGGTATTTTCTTATATTTTATTATTAGTTTTTTATAATTTGTTACAAAATTATAAAGAATTCTACACTATATCATGTGCTCAAAAATAATTTTTATTTATTCTATACTATCAATATGTATTTCTATATTAAAACACACTACTTATTCTACATTATACAGTTGTATCTCATGCATACATTCAAATTTATCTTATTTATAAGCAGAATTTATTAATTAAGGTGTTTTTTGATAGATTTTATAATTTCATTACAATTTCAACTATGAGGAATGTTTATTGCTTTTAAAAGGTTTTAATGTTTTTTATTATTTTATTTTGATCTGCAGAAAAAAATTTTAACTTCAGTTTCATTTAATCTTTCAGATATTAGTGACATTCATATAAACACTTTTACACAGAAAAAAAATATTAGATATAATTTTTTGATTGCTGCACAAAGGTGCTGTTTATTTGATTATTATTTTGATTAGTATTATTATGGTTTTATTATTTGTGTGTAGTTGCAATCTTTATTTAATATAAATTTATTCTACATATTAAAAATAAAAGATAATACAATGAATACTCAGCATTTAGTTGGTCTGTTCAGTAAAAATAAAGAATTGAAAGTATTAACATATATACCAAAATGACATTAAACTTATTGTAACCAGTACAGAAAAATAATAAGAAAATTTATTACACAACCAGTTCTTCATTTTACAGAATTTATATAGAATAAGAATAGATATTGTAATAAATATTAATTTGAACAAATACAATAAGTTTTTCGGATAAAAACTTATGCTATGCAAAATCTAGCGTGTATTTAAGTTTGAGCGATAAATTGTTCTAGTATAAGACACAATCTTAAAATATGTTTTTATGGTCTTGTCATAGATATGAAAGTTTGGATTAGATTCTTCTGCAAGGATCTGAATAATTATCTGATTTCAGTAATTGTTTTGATTTTCAACAAAGAATAAATATGAAGTACTGTGCAATAATAATTAAACAATGACAGTTTTACATCCTCTTCAGTGCAGCAAGTCAGTATTGGATGACGTGTTATTTTAATTTAATTTATATCTGTTTTTGATAGGAACTTAGTTTGTAATTAAATATTTATTTTCATTCAACTGATTGCCATGAGTGCTTTATAAAATAATCTAAGTGAATGTAAGTAGTATTAAATTGTTCATCAAAAATTTATTTCCAGATGAAAACATTGAAATGGACCTGTATGAAAACAAGAATATACCCTTTTTCAAAATAGCAGTTTGAAGTTAAATGTATTTATTGAAATCAAATTAGATTTTAATTAGATCTTAATCTTATTTCTCTAATATTTTAGAAAGAATTAGTATATGCTGTTAGAAGGAATGCCATCTAAAATTAAATAATTATATACAATTAATTACTTTATAATTATTAATTTATATAACTGATTTTGTAAAATACAGTGAGCTGTGCACAAAAAATATGTTAGTGCATAACTGTGTAGGCATAATTTGAATGGAACTATGCTACAAGTTTTGGTATCTCCTATTAAAAAAAAATATTTAATTACACTTAAAAATATATAGATTATAGTACATTTAGAAAATTTATAACTTTTCCAAAAAGAGAAATATTAAAAATTTAAACTGTTTTTGTAAACTGCTTGTTTGCAACAAAATTTCAAATCTGTTGGTCTTCTTTGTTTTAAGTGACACTTCAGCAGAAAATAAAACAACAGCAATTAAAAAAGACTACAGTAGTACCATAGAACCTCAATCTATCATTCCCATAATGATTGTTTTCCCACATGTACCATTTGTCATTTTTGGCTCCAAATAAAGTTCTATATTCTATATAAATGTTATTTATTCCTACATCCATTGTTCTCTGAACTATAGTTTTACTGCATTGATTGATTGATTGTAAATCATGGTCCTAATGCAGTATTTTCCACATGGATTGTTTGAAGAAAATGAAGCAAAGTATTGCATTATCTTTTCTTTGGATTATAAATTTGGTAACACAGTAATGCAGTCATGCTTCACATGTGGTACTCAACTCCACATCTGCATTATTTCCAAACTTTATTTTGTTGAAATGGTTTTGTGCTTTCTCAAGTGATTCCTAATATTTTGTTTATTTGTTTTCATTAGGTTATTTCTGCTAGGAATAAAACTAATAAAAAATGAACACTATTTAATGTACAGTATTTTCTTTGGACCATGGCTCTGCCAACGAAGAAAATTTGCATGACCAATTGAAAATAATAGAGGAATGTGATGACACATGTCAATTCCTTACCAGTTTTTCTCTTTTTACATTTGCTGAATTGGAAATGGTGCTCGTCACCTGGTTTCAGCAGCACAAGCATCTGATATATTACAATTGAACCACACAAAGGAAAAAGCAAAGTTTTAGCTATCCATCTGATCATAGCTAATTTAAGTGCATCCAATGGTTGGGTAAATAGATTCAAAGGTCGGCATGTCTGATTTTCAAGAAGCTAGCAGGAAAGAGTGCTGAAGTATGTGTAGAAAGTACTGATGAATGACTGGAAAGTCTACCATCTTTATTGGATGGTTATGAACCATGCCAAATGATGCATACAGTAAAGATGAGACAGGGCAATATGCTTCCTGATAAAGCCTTAGCATATAAAGGAGAATCTTGCCATGGCAGAAAACATTCCAAAGACAGAATCACTGTGCTACTATTCATTAATAGTGATGGAAGTGACAAACAAGGCTGATTTTGATTATGGAATCCCCAAAGCCAAAGTGGTTGGCAATTTTTCAACATTATCATTCACAATTTAAAAGTATACTATAGAAGACATCTTGTGCAAACAGCCATTTGCCTTTTAGAGTTGGGAAAGGAAGTAAAGAAAAATTTACATACTCAAAGCAATGCACTATGTAAAGGCAGTGTGACAACAAGTAAACCAGTAAACCACTCAAAATTGTTTCCTTAAAACTGAACACAAGTATCAATTGGATGGTAATGAAATGACAAATGATGATTGTGATTTTGACAAAGACTGAGAAAAAATGTATAGAGCTAAGAAATATGATTTCCAAAAAGCTATGTCTCAGTGGATCACCATGTGGCATTGAAACTGTTGAATTATGCAAAGCATTTGGGTCTACAAGGAGTGTGGAGGAAGAAAATGAACAAGAGATAGTGCCAAGATTTACAAGGCTTTACAAAAAGTTAGTCTTTTTCTATGTGCAAAGTGGGAGCAACATGGACTGTGAAAACATTTTAAGTCTTGAAAAGTCATGTTTTCAATTGAGGCTAGGTTTCTTGGTTGTTTTTTTAACCTGGGAAATCCCACAAATTTCTTAAAAGTTTGCTGTTTTCTTATTTTGTGTTAAGGTTGAGAAAATTTTGCAAATATAAAGTATAATTAACTCATAAACTGTCAGAATACATTTGTTTTTATTAATTTTAAACCTACTTATTAGTTTTTAATTTTTGCTCATTATGGCATGTCACAAATGGTCAACAATCAATATGTAGCTTATTTGTGGCAGGACTCTGAAAATTCTTTACTTGTCAGAACCTGTAATATCTGGAATAATTGTGCTTATGCTGTCTTAATTTTTACCATGCCCAGTAGCTACAATAACTGCATTATGTCAGATTGTATCCTTGCCCAATTTGCACAAACAAGTATGAAGTTTTTCTTCATAAACCTGATTATTATTAATAAATCCAAACAAAGTGCCAAATTATCGGGCTGTAGGCTTGATGCCACTATTAAAGCAGTTGAGGTAGACAAATCAAAAATACTAGTCTGCAAAAGAAGTACAGCAATGCATCTTGAAAACGAACTAGAAATCTTCCAGGCTACAGGTGAAAAAAATACATAACATTTGTTTTCTCTTAAATGCATTAAACACAATTCCATTCACATCAATTGAATCAGAAAGGGCATTCTTGGTAGCATGACACTTTTTATTACTAAAATAAGAATCAGATTGAGTGATCAGAGATTGACCATCTTTGCTTTTTAAAATCTTAATACAAAATATTGTAAATTTTTATGTTTTATTTAAAAAATTAAAATTACCTTTTAAGTTAGAAGTTTGATCTAAGTTTTTTTTTTTTTTTTAAAGNTATAGTATGTGACAAGTCCATCACAAAAAACAAAACTGGACCAATTTTTTAAAAGTATATGACTAAATTTCAGACTATTTTTTCTTATATAATACATATGAACAACATAAGTGTAGTGAATTGAGACTTTCTGTCGAGAGTTGTATGGTGTTGATTTGTGCCATGCCATACATAATTCAAAGGTAATTTTTAATATATATTTTACACAACATTATCACTATGATTTTGGAGGTTGCAGAACGTATTATAATAAATTACTTTAAAAAATGAAAAATAATCATTTGATTTCAAGATATTTTGTATATCTTAAAAATAATTAATTCTGTCATGGGATTTCCTGAGATCCTGGGAAACAATTCATTTTTTCCTGAAAGACCGGAAAATGAGAAACCCTAATTGAGGCAAAGTTCCACCAAGAAGCAAAGGACAATGTGTGACTTTTTGTTAAAAAGTAGTTTTATTACTCTCAACATGAATACATTACATTAAAAAATATTTATTTATAGTGTGTAATAGTTTCCTGCATTAATTGTTTTCCCCCTCCATCCCCTTGAAAAATGATAGATAAAGGTTCCACAGTATTATATGTATACACAATCCAACCCAAGCTTTATAATTTCCATTATTATGAAATATCATTGAAGTAATATAGATTAAAATATTTATAAAAAACAAAAAAAATAGAAAATTTTATCAATATTTATTTTATTTTAACTTGATTATTTAATCTCTCCAGTTGTCTTTGAATTTTATTTGACAATTGCAATGATCTTAATAATAATTAAGGGTTACTAGAATCATCAACAATTAACTGCCTAAGGCAAAAGGGTTTATCTCAAAAAAAATTTTTTTTTTGAAAATCAATTTGTGCATTTAACATTATACCTAATTAGTATCAATAAGGGATACTAATTAGGTATGATGTTGAGTGAGAAAATTGATTTTCAATTTTTGTTTAGTTTGGGCTTTTGTCTAGGATGATAGTTTTATCAATAGTTTTAGACTGATTTATAGGGCTTCCAATGTTGTTATTACAAAGACACCTTATAATTTTTTTACAGGTCTGTCTTTTCTACTAGTAAAAATAATTATTTCAGCTGAAGTTGTAAAATACAATTCAATATTCTATTTCTAAACTTATTTTTGTTACTTCAAAAATTATTAGACAAACAATCAAAAAACAATAAACAAATATATTGAGTGAAATTTAACAAAGACATTATTTTAGAATTTAGATCTTTGTATGCTGTTGGCTTGTATTGTTACTCAAAAACAAAGTATCTGAAGCTATTGTTGCAATAAATTGAAAACATTTAGCATTGTTTCAAAGAAGGAAAATTAATTTTTATATATTCTGTAAATAGTAATATTTAACATCTGATGAATTATTAAGTACAGTAAGCCCTGGATTTAATGGACTTTGAATTTAACAAAAAAAATCTTTTTCTCCCCCTCCTTCCTACTCTAACTATACAACCTTTTTTTTTATTCACCAATAGAGAATGTTGGGTCAATGATTCAATGAGAATAAATAACTTACATTATAATCATGTTTTATTTGTATTTATGACACTCACAATGTATTAAATGTTGCTGTAATGTATAAATTCATTATACAAAAACGATTGTTTTTAAAATACTTTTGATTTAATAAACTTTCAGAAATAACAGATTCAATTAGTCTGTTAAATTGAGGGTGTACTATATTTACAGCAAAAATAAAGTATAACAAAATAAACAAATCACTTAAATTATACAGAATAGATTTAGTTAATTTGTCTTACTCATTAACCATCATAGTTAGTCTGTTAACAATGTTGTCATTGTATAATACTGTACAGTCAAATACTGTTTATAGGTTTCTCAGTTGTACTTTTTTTACAATTATGTTAAAAATTTTCTGCCCTACTTTCTCAATTATAAGATTTCACATATATATGTTATGTTTTAGGTATATTACAGCATTTTTTTTTTCTCACTTTTGCATTATTTACTTTAAAGATATAATTTTCCATTTCACTTTTCTAAATAATGTATTCACTTGTAGTCCACAATGACAGCAAATTTTCAGTAAATTCAAAAATTAATAATTCATTATGTGACAGTTTCTGACAAAGTTTCCTGTTTAGCAAATTGCTCCTCCAGTCCATGTTGAAAATTTTTGCTTTCTACATTTTGCAGTATGAATCAATTTCACTATGTGAATAAAAATTATTTTTATGGTTTTTATTGATTTTTCACTAGTTGCAGTCAGGTGAGAGCTAATATTTAGAATGAGTCTTCATTATTTCGTATGACTGGAATTTTGACAGGTGATAACTAATGTCACAAACTTGTATAGTATGTGACAAGTCCATCACAAAAAACAAAACTGGACCAATTTTTTAAAAGTATATGACTAAATTTCAGACTATTTTTTCTTATCTTACTGGAACTAAATCAAATAAATAATATAAGTAAACAACGCCTTTTTAACAGTCCAGCAAAAACATTTAATTCTCTAATAACGTTTTCGACCAATTTTAGCGGCCTTCATCAGTTACTCCAAATTTCTACTAAATTTCGAATATTTTGTTCTTTTTGATATTGGAGTAACTGATGAAGGCCGCTAAAATCGGTCGAAAACATTATTAGAGAATTAAATGTTTTTGCTGGACTGTTAAAAAGGCGTTGTTTACTTATAAAAACTAATATAATTTTATTATTTCAGGACAACTTCATTTTGTCTAATTCTTGCTGAAAGTAGCGTTTAGGCTGCCTTTTACAGGAATATAATTTTTATAAATACTTTTCATTAATACATAACTAATATAATTTTATTATTACAGGACAACTTCATTTTGTCTAATTCTTGCTGAAAGTAGCGTTTAGGCTGCCTTTTACATCAATATCAATGATTTCAAGTAAAGAAGTGAGTAATTCCAATCCCTACATCAATTGGCAGGACCAATTGTTGGAAAACCATGTCCGAGCCAAACCTCCACAGGTGGAGAGCGTAACACTGCCAATAATTCATACATTAATATGAAGAGCATCTAATAATCATTCTGTGATTTCACGATAATTGATAGAAAAAAATTTTCTATTGTTGATTGTTTTATTGCATTGTGGAATTTTGCCGTTTTAATGATTTGTTTTATTAAATATGGAGAGAATAAGTTTAGGAAGAATTGCCTTTCTTGTCATTTTAGTTCCTGAACGGATTAGGTTAATTAATAGGTTTATGTATTTGATGATATATTTAAAGTGTTCATGTTATTTTCATGTGCCCTACACTGCCAGTTTACTTTCTTCCATTGATTTTCTTGTTAATCTTTTTTATTGTACTACATTATATTTAGACAAGTGTATACATAAAATCAGTATTTCTTTTTAAGCATCATTTTTAGTCAACTTTATACATTCATTTCATGTGAAGTTCAGTATCATCATTGTAAATCAATAATGTCTATCATTCTACGCTATTCATAAATTAAGCTAAATTTTAAATGAAAAAATTCACTGTCAACATTATAAAATGTCTGTTAATGAACAGCTGTATAAATCCTGCTTGACAATCTGCTTCTCTTCGAGGAAAGTATTGAAGTTGCCATTTTAATGGGCAGAATATCTTTCTACGTGTATGTGAATTCAATATATGGGTCAATATGTGAAATTTCCTAATCCCTGATGTTTAACCCAACTTCTTGTTATGTTATGTATATTTATCCCTTTTGGGATGTAGTAAATAGAGAAACATAACATGTTAAACTTGTTTGAAGTTTATCTGCTGTGACTATAGTTTGTTGTTGAAAACACTTGTTACATATTTTGAAATGTTACTTTCAAGTGTCTATTTTGCAGAAAATATATACTGAAAAAAATTTGAAAGTATGTCATTAAAAGAAGAGAAATCTAAAAATGAATATTTATTTCTTGAAACATAGTGCTTTAATAAATTGAATTATTACTGTAAAACAGAACATGTGAAAAGAAACTATATATTTTGAGATTTCTCTTCATGAAAGACATCTTTCACAAACTTTAGCTACCTTTCATAAAGGATATACAGCAGAATTCTATTTTTATGAGCCATTTGAAAACTATTTTTATTTCTGAAAACGAGTGTGGAATATCAAAGAGATCTGTGATGTAATAATCACCCAAACACAAGAAATTGTGATGGCATTGTAAGCAGACATGTTGTTTGGCAGGAAAAGAATTCAGGAAAATTTTTCTATTCCAAAAGAAAAAAACATCATTGAATCAATGTCTTCTGTCAACACTTCATGTTTTGTGGAAATTTTTAATAAAAAGATATATTAAAAAAGAATATATATATATAGATTCCGCG